GAGGAGTGGAGGAAGGAGGAGAGGAATGGGAGAGGATTGTGTCAGCTTTGGACCAGTGGGCGGTCAGCGCTGAAAATACAGAGAAGACCGAGGGATGGATGATGGTGGCTGAAAGAGGGGAGTAGGTGACATCTCTCAGGGAGAAAGAGCACGGGGCCCCTGCACAGAAACACCAAAAGCCAGCTTTTAAGGTTTGGACAAGAAAAGTGAGAAAGAAGTGCCCCAGAGACAGAGGAGAGAAATCAGGAGAGTGTGGCTTTAAGAGGAGAATGGGCATTAGTGTCACTTAAGATAAAGACCTGAAAGGATAGTGGATTTGGCCCAAGGTAAGCCAGGGGTGTCAATGGAGCAATGAAGGCAGAAGTTAGATTGAGGTTAGTTGAAGAGAGAGGGGAAGCTGAGACCTTTAGAGCAGCTGTCTCCAACTTTTTTGGTACCAGGAAAGGTGCTCCTGTGAGAGTCTAATGCCTGATGATGTGAGGCGGAGCAGAGGTGATGATGGTAGTGTTGCGGGGAGTGGCCGCAAATACAGATGAAGATTCACTCGCTTGGCCACCGCTCACCTCCTGCTGTGTCGCTGGGTTCCTAACAGGGTTCCTAACAAGCCACCTACCAGTACAAGTCCTTGGTGCGCAGGTTGGGAACCCCTGCTTTAGAGGGAAGGTAGCCAGACGTTTGGGAAGGACCCCACAACCAGTATTGCCTTAAAGAGGAGAAAGGACTGCTCTCTCACCCCACCATTATGACGGGAAGGAAGGAAGACAGGATGGGATGGGCAGGTTTTGTAGGTTGGCGGGTAGGAAGCCAAGAAAATTCTCCTCTGATGACTTTTATTTTCTCTACTACTATTTGATGAGATATTTGCCAAGACTGTAGATTTGGGTGGGGATAGAGGGTACAGGGGGATTTTGAGCAGAGATAAGTTATGTGGAGAATGAGAGAGAAATAAGTCTAGGGAAGGAAAGAGGAGAGTCTGTCAGTTTTGAGAGCCCAGCTGGAGTAGAAACTCTCCTGTGCAATTGGGAGGGCAATTTGGCACAGGCCCCCTCCTTTTTGGATGGTAATTTAGTAGTATTTATTAAAATGATAAATATATCTACTCTTTGACTGAGCATTTTCACTTCTAGGGATCCACTCTGGAGATATACTTACATATGTACTCAGAAGAATGAACAAGAATATTCATTATCACTATTACATAGTGATAATAGTGAATAACCTAAATGTGAATTAGAGAATGCGATATTTTGTAAAATTAAGTATATCGTACTTTTTGAGGAGAAAATCTCTCCAAGATATATTAAATTTAAAAAAAGAAAGAAAAAAAAATTCAAGGTGCCCAACAAAGTGGCTGCTAGAATCTGGCAATCTATCTGATTTCACATATATATGTATATGCATGTATATATGTGTGTGTGTTTATATGCATGTGTATGTGCATGTATCTATATTTAAGAAAATACATGCATATAGCATATGCCAAACTATTAACAGCAGATGTTTTGAGGGATGCTTTCAAAGGAGAACTCTGATTTTTTACTCTATATACATCTGTATTGTTTAATTTTTTTTATGAGAAGTTGCATTTATGTTTACCTCTATATAATTATATTTGAAAATATGTAGAGAGCATGGTACTCAACTTCTCAACTGTGTAATTTTCTCAAGTAGCACTCAGTAGTAAACTACGTGTAGGTACAGACATAAGAGTTGACTTCATCCAGGATAGAAGTTTGCCAAGGCATATGGAATGGAAGAACAATAGTGAGGGAGCTATACTTTTGAGAGTGCCTGAAATGTGGGGCCAGGGATTCTAAGGACTGGATGGGAAATGAGAACAAGACATGATGCTGATATATGAGTAGAAAAATGGAGGATCCTAAGGGGTGAGCGAAGAAAGCTAGAGAGAGTAATTGAGTGATAAAGCTGGAAAAGTAGAACGTAGGGGTCAGAAGTTGGAATGTTTTTAGGTTAAGATTCAGAATAGAGCCATTCTAAGTAATGACTCCGTCCATATTGGCCATGGAACAGGTAGCAGAAGTGGACTTGAGCTGAGGGTCAGGAAACAGCAGGGAAGTGATAGTCTCTCCTCACCTTGCTCTCTATTTGCTGTAACACTGCGAAGCTGCTAGAGGCATTCCTGGTTCTTTGGAATGTGAGCACTTCCTCACGAGCTTACTGTATTGCTCTGTCGCCAGAGAAAAGAGGCCTTCAGAAGTGTTCCCCATTGCCTAAGATGACAGTCTCTTCAAGAGCCTTTCACCCACTTCTTCTACCACATTACCAGTCAGCGTAAGACATCAGTCTCCTGGGGCCCCAAACACCCACCTTAACCTGGTTACCCACTTCCCCTAAGAGACTATTAGAGTAAATCCCACTGTGCCTCACATCCCTGTACATCTGTTCATCAGACCCAATTTGCCAGGCCTCAGACACTTCTAAAACCCATCCTCTGCAAGCATTGGAATACATAATCTTTCATCACAGAGTTCCCTGTATATTTAACCTCTTCTGAACTTTACCTACCTGTCACAAATAAAACCTGGTTGTCTACTTACAATATCATTTCCCTGCAAACCTCTTAGAGGCTGATTTAAAAAAGATCCCATTTGATTCACTGGGCTTACTGAATCTGTTGATTGATATTTTTCATTAGTTTTAAAAAATTCTTGGCCATTTTCAAGTATTGCTTCTACCCATTCTCTCTTTCTTCTTCTTCTGGAACTCTAATCATAAATGTGTTAGATTATTTTTTCTTTGTCCTACATGTACCTTTTGCTCTGTTCTGTTTTTCCTCCTTTTTTTTTAAAATTTTATTTTATATTAGGTTCAGGTATACAGTACATTGGTTAGACATTTATATGCTTATAGATGGGAACTCCCTGATTACTATAGCACCTATCTGGCTCTACATATAGTCATTACTATACTATTAACTATATTCTTTATGCTGTACTCAACGTCCATATGACTATTTTATAACAACTAATTCGTTCTTCATCCTTTCACCTTTTTCATCCAGCCCCCCAACACCTCTCCCCTCTGGTAGTAACCAGTTTGTCTTGTGTATCTGAGAGTCTTTTCGTTTAGTGTGCTCCTTTTGTTCCTTAGATTCAGCATATTAGTGAAATCATACGGTATTTATCATTCTCTGTCTGACATATTTTACCCTTTAGGTTCATTTATGTTGTTGCAAATGGTAAAATTTCATTTATTTATGGCTGAATGATATTCTATTGCATATGTGTACCATAATTTCTTTATCCAATCACGTACTGTTGGGCACTTAGGTTGCATGCATATCTTGGCTATTGTGAATAGTGCTGCTATGAACATAGAGGTGCATAGATCTTTATGAATTAGTGTTTTCGTCTCTTTGGATAAATATCCAGAAGTGCCATTGCAGGGTCAAATGGTAGTTCTATTTTTGATTTTTTGAGAAGCCTTCAAATGGTTGAAACTCTTCTTTGTAACTGCTCCTCTTGCCCAGCCTCCTTGTCTATTCCTTCTCTCTCTTACTCTTTACCTACAGATATTGGTCTTCCTTCAAGACCCACCTCAAGTCCCCTCACACTGATTGATATATACGTGTGTGTGTGTGTGTGTGTGTGTGTATACATATATGTTTTTATTAAGTTTATTGGGGTAACATTGGTTAATACAATTATATAATTTTCAGGTGTACATTATAATTTGCCATCTGTATATTCTATTGTGTGTTTACCACCCAAAGTCCAGTTTCCTTCAGCTACCATATATTTGATCCCCTTTACCCACTTCACCCTACCCCTACCCTTATATTTGACCCCCTTTAACCTTCTACCTCCTCTCCCACTCCCTACTCTCTGGTAACCACTAGTTTATAGTCCATGTCCATGAATCTCTTTTTGTTTGTCCTGTTCATGTTGCTTTTGGGTTTATATCCCACATATAAGTGATAACATGTGATTTTCGACTTTTTCTCTCTGGCTTATTTCACTTAGCATGATTATCTCCAGGTCCATCCATGTTGTCACAAATGGCAGTATTTCATCTCTTCTTATGGCTGAGTAATATTCCATTGTATATATGTACCACAGCTTCTTTAGCCAATCATCTATCACCAGACACTTCGTTTGCTTCCACATCCTGGCCACCATGAATAATGCTGCTATGAACATCGGTGTGCTTCCCCATTCTTTTTTATCCCCACTCACCCCGTGCTTGTTTGGATATTTTTTTATCGTCTTCAAGTTTACTGATTCTTTTTTATACTATGGCTAGTCTACTGTTAAATGCATCAAATGAGTTCCTGATTTCGGACAATGTATTTTCCAGTTCTAGAATGTTCATTTGATTCTTTTTTATACATTCCAATTAAAATTCTGCATCTTTTAATTTGATCTATCATTTCCTGTTTTCCTTAACATGTTAATTTTGTTTTTTAAAAATCATTGTCTATTAACATGAATAACTTTGAATTAAAGTCTAATAAAGAATAGAATAAGTTTTATTTAAATTACTTGTGTGATTTCTCTCTCCTGGCTGGGCCCTAACTGATATGGAAGGCTTCATTGGAAAGGGACACAAAGAAACTTTCTGGGGAGTTGAAAAATGAGTGGG